GCCCCCTAGGACACGGTTGCCCCTCTTGGCTGCCAGGGCACTGCTGACTCATATTCAACTTGTCTTCGACCAGGACTCCCAGGTCCCTTTCTGTAGCACTGCTTTCCAGCAGCTCATTCCCCAGTCTGTATGAACATCCAGGGTTGCCCCATCCCAGGTGCAGAATCCGGCACTTTCCCTTATTAAACTTCATATGGTTGGTGATTGCCCAGCCCTCTGATTTATCAAGGCCTCTTTGCAGAGCCTCTCTGCCTTTGAGGGAGTCAACAGCTCCTCTGAGTTTTTGTCACCTGTTTAGCTTTGGGTCTTCTCATCTGTGTTCTTACAGACTCAGGCCAAGCCCAGCAACACCTCTGAGCTGCTGAGGGCTCCATGCACTGATGCTCTGTTTGGCCACGGAACAGGGCAAAACAACCTAGTCCTGCAGCATCCTCTGGCTCCCTGCTGCAGCCATCAGTTTTCCAAGAGCTATCCTGATAAGTAAAAAAATTAAGAAATAAAAGAAAAAAAAAATCAGTTATTTCTGTTTAAGTTGAACTATATAGAGGTCAGTTCTATTTTGGATAAAATAAACAAACCCAAACTAACCACAAAACTGTTGCCACCTGTGTTCACATTATAGTAAAAAAACCCGTGAAGTTTTACTGCTTAATTGATATGTATCAGACGCTGTTTTCGTATTTAAAAAAACTACAGAGCTTTTTACATTATATTTCTCCATGACTACAGTTCATAGGGCTACAAAACCTGCAGAAATAAATGTATGTCCTTGAAACATTTCAGCTTCAAAGAAGTACCACAGTTTTAGCACCCTTAAATGAAAGTAAACTTCTATCAGTATCTTTATTAAAGTAATATATAAAGATATCCTGATGTTGGCCTTACAGCCAGGCAAGCCTGGGCGTCCTGAGGAACGCTGCTTTTTCTTTGAGACAGAGACCCCTTTTTCTTCTGCAGTCACAGCCTTCTGTTTTAAGTGCTATAATTCTGAATAGTTTCATTTTTACAATGAATAGATTTAAGTCCAGGAAGGACTGTTAGAAGATAACAGAGGCTACATCCTACTTTCTTTGTATTGAGCTCAGTTACAAAGCTGTAGGGAGGGAACTTCCATCCCTTAAGAAAAGGCCAGCCAGCAACATACATGTGTCTCAGAGATAGCTTCAAATATTTTGTAGTAAGACAAACTTCTACAGAAATGCTGCTTCTCAAATTTATGATCAGTGAAAGCTGTTAATGGTGAGAGGTTAACTGTATAAACCTAGGGAAAAAAACCCCCTACATTCTACTACCTGTAAATCAAGTCCTCTTAAAATCTGCTTTGTTTCACAGCAAGACAGAGCTCAAATGTGCATAGCTCAGGACAGACCACAATCACTGGCTGCTACATGCATGCTTAGAAGAGTGCTCCCAAATAAATCTACAAATGCCCTTTATTTGGTTCCAGCCAGTTTGGAATTTACAGAGCAGGCCTCCCTCCTGTCATCCCAGGAGTGTGAATAACCACAGGTAAATGTAGAGGAAAAAAAGCAAAACCTTTCAAGAATTATGTCAAGAACACTGCTAATTGTTTTTTTGAGGGGCTTTTTGATGGTAATGCAGCAACCTAATTTTAACTGAAATCTGTGGTGAATCTGGTAACAGCAAAACCACACTGTCCAGAGGTATGTTCATAACCATTCCAGTAGGCAGATTTCCACATTTCTATGCCAAACTGTGACACGCAAAACAGAGGAAGTGCTATTTTTGCCTCAGAGTCCCACACAACTCACTGCTGCAGGCAGCAGACTTGCCTACTTCAAATCACCCTGCAGTAGTTACCCTCACCAGGCACATGTTCTCTAGCACATCACACCCAGAACAGCCAGCCAGAGACAGGAGGGAAGGCAGTAGAGAAACCAATCAGGCCATTTAACAGTACCTCTGCAGGTGTGATGATGTGAACAGAGGTGCCCAGTTCACAGGCTAGTACCCCAGCCACTGTTAAGTCTTCCCTTTAATGTGACTACATAGGTGGCAGGAACAAATTAAGATGGTATAGGACCTTCTGAATACTTGTAATTATAGCAAAGGGTGAGATAAACAAGAGCATCCAGTAAACCCACATCTAAAACCTGAAATACAGAACTGTGCATTTCAATGGAAGGTGGTTTGTTTTTTTTCCTGTACTAAATTGCAGTTCAAGGTTTTATAAGGACAGACTATGAAGATGGAAAATGGCAGGTTACTGTGGACAGAGCTGGTAAATTAGCAACATTTAAGCCTACTTTGTATCTCCCCTGAAAGACTATTTTCTATTGTGCATGTTATTGCCAAACATTAGGCATTCTGTCTGACATTGCCTATGCCTCATGTCTGCGACAGCAGATGTCTCTTTTCAATTGTTGGTTATGTAGTTCAAATGTTAGGGAATTACTACAAATTTAGTCCACATTAAAAACTCTGACAATCATTCCTCTGGAGTTTGAAAGAGGGATCTATAACCATTGACACTGACCTAAATCCCAAACAATGGGCAAGAGCGTGGAGCTGGAAGGAAGTGGTAACACTAGTTGTCTTGTCTGGTCTGATCCTAGCATCGTGAGACAGGTCAAACTGTTATTCATTTCAGATACTTCTCAGAGAAGAGTATCTGTGAGACCATCTGGAGATGGAATTCTGTGAGAGCAGTGAGGGCCTCTTGTTGTGCATTTGGGACAGGCAGTTTGGTTCCTGTGAACCAAAACCAGCTGGGCTCTTGAGTTTCATTTCCAGAAAGAGAAACTCAGACCAAATATTGTCACCAGAAAGCATGCTGAAAAGGACAGAGCACATACACCAACCTGCCTACTGTTTTCTGTGACAGTAAGAGCACTGCTGACTGTCTAAATCTGTGCTTGCCCTTAAATACATCTTATGTTCTTTTCACTTGGAAGGTGGTTTAGGAACTAGAGTTACTAGGATATGCAGGTTTAAATGCTAAATTATTTGTATAAAATACTAAGAAACTCTGCATTTTCCTCTATGCAAACTATTCTATTGCAGGGGGGAGAGGAAGAGACGTGTCTTTATCCCCAGTAAGGAATTCAAGGCCACAAACCCTTCAAGGGCTGGATATTCTGAGACATTAAAAGTAGTTAAAAAAATTAAAATACTCATTATACTTACTAGTGGGAAAGGTTTTTAAAAGTTCTGGAGTAAAGTAATGGAAGACAGAGGGATTATTGTTCATGTTGCAGCCAATATTGCTGATCCCATCTGAAGAGTAGTTTCTACTGGTTTTATAGCGTTGAAATTCTCTTTTCAGTATTCATCTTAAATTTTATTGACTTTTTCTATTTGCATGTGGTCTGACCTGTGCTGCAGCATTTGTTTTTGCACTTCAGGCTTTCAGGCAAAGAGCCAAAACCAGAACTACTTCATCCATTTTCTCAGAGTTGGCCTTGGTCATTAGCACAGGATGCAGTGCTGTGAGTGCGCAGAAGAGAAGAAATTTCTGTGTCTTAAGTGTGCTAAAGCTATTAGAAACTCCTTGAATCTAGGCTGAAAAAATGAAAGTAGTGCCAATAACACAGACTGGTGAGGACACTATCAAGTGGAAAAGCTCGCTATGATTGGTGCATATGGGACAGGGACCATATAACCACTGCATCAAGAATTGACTTGAGACAAACTTCTACTTCCTTAGTTGGAAGGTTGCTATGGCTATGACCATTACTAGGGTAGCAGCAGGTAAATCTTGAAATAAAGGAATTGATAAAGAAGGAAGACAGTGCCCTGTGTTTCCTTTCCAGTCTTGCTGTCCCTCACATCATGCAGTGATTTTATTGCAGACATTCAGAACATCAAACAAAGCTATGTGAGGGCATTTCTGTACTCCACGTTCTTAACCAGGTTTGTCAGCAGAGCTCCTATCTTCATACAATCCATGTCTGTTCCAAAACAGTGCAATGGCATGAAAAAACAAAAGGCTCTCAAATAATAGAAATTTCCAAGCAAAGTACCAGCTTATGCAGTAACCTAGTGTTGCATGACTGAGATCCCACAACAAACCTTTGTTTTGTTTATAATAATCATCTACAAATGTAATCTTATTACCTCATCCATTTGAGGTTACCCTATTTAGCATGTTGAAGTTTTTGTGGGCATAGCATCCAAAAGCTGTAATGCAACCACAATTCAGGAGCACTGATGGCTCATGTAGCCACAGTTCTGAGTTTTACACTGTAAGGGCTGGAGGGTATGATCTCATTCTGTCCCTTGCAGATCTACAACACATTTGCTCAGACTACAATATTCTTTAATGATCTGCAACAAAAGCATTTCTGATGCAGGCAAAGTGTTTATTTGATAATTTATAAATCCAGTAATAGTTTCTGCAAATGCCTTCCTTTTCACTCCCAAAAGGAAGTTCCCTAGTTCAGGAATTAAAACACTTTCCTTAAAAGTTAACCCAAACTTACCACATCAATATTAGAAAAAAAACCCAATCAACATCTCTGAAAGTAAGTAAAATGTTTTGTGTTTTTTAACTGGTAAAAACAAACCAAACCCAACTTTTCAAGGTGAGTGTTGTTGCATGCTTTGAGCAGGAGATGGAGAGGAAAGCACAGTTAGAGCCTGGGCCCTGACAGAAGCCCTCAGAGAGGGACTACGCAGCAACAGCAGCAGCAGCAGCATGAAGCCACTTTTTGCAAAACTCTGCTCTTCCAGGGGCTGAACCACTAATAACAACTGAGCAGCCACATAGCAGAAGGATAGCTAAAATCAGCACTTGATATGCCCAACGGGGGCAGAAGGGGGAGGGTAAGTCTCTCTGCTAGGGGTATAATGGACGTGTAGAACCCTTTACAGGGCTTTTGCAGAATGGCTAAAAAAAGTAAGGTAGCAAGCAAGAAACAAGATAAAGGAAACAGGATGTCATGCAATCATTCATGGTGATCTATGACTTCAAGTAAAATAGGGTCTCAATGCAATAGACTTTCCAGAGAAGCTGTGGATGCCCCAGCTTGGAAGCGTTCATGGCCAGGCTGGATGGCTCTGACCAGCCTGGTCTGGTGGAAGATGTCCCTGCCCATCGCAGTGGGGTTGAAAGGAGATGATCTTTAAGGTCCCTTCCAACCTAAGTCATTCTATGATTCTATCATTTTTGCTGGGATAAACCCATGCATTTCATTGATAGTAGGTCTGGTCTCCCTTCTCCTCATTTCCCAAAACTCTGCTCCCTTCTGCTGTTCCCTTTTCCACTGTCTAGCTAGAAACAACAGCTGTGAAGCAATTTCCCATATCCTAACAGAGGATGTGGAGAATGGCTGTGGTAAGGCTCACTTGAACATAGGAGAGTTGTCCAAAAGGAAAAAAAGAGGCAGGATCTTTGTCTCTTGTGAGTTGGATCCCCATTATTGCCATGGAATGGCACCTCCAACCTCATTCTCCTCTTTTCACTGCTTTCATTTTGGGTAGAGAACAAGAACATCCTGCCCCAGCTGCAGGAAACTAACTCCATGCTTCTCCCCTTCCTGGTGCTTTGCAGTGCCCCCAAGGCTGAGCCTCTTCTGTGACGAGCACGGGAAGCCCGTGTGCGAGGCAGCGGCAGGGAAGCCGCCTGCTCAGGTCTCGTGGCTCCTAGAGAGCAACTCCTCCCTTGAGGAAGAAAGCCACGACAACAGGACAGTGACTGTTCTCAGCAGGTTGACAGCATGTGACACCAATGTGACTGACACAACCTGCGTGGTGTTCCACCCAGCTGGGAGCTGGAGTGAGTCCATAGCCTGTTGCCCCTCAGGTAAGCTTCCCTTCGTGCATTTGCTGTTCAAAAGCCTGTTTAGCCCTCTGTTTATGCACTGAGCAAACATCAGTGGCCCTGGCAGGATTGCAGCAGGAACTGTGCAGCTAAGTTTCCAGTGAGAAATTTGCTGGGAGGAGACAGGATAAACAGGAGTGCTGTCAGAACTGTAAAGTCCTTTGTGAAATTCTAGGAAAGGAGATGGATGCAGTGGTTTTCCTTCCCACCTCCAGGGCTGAATGGAAAGGCAGGATTATTCACAAGTTCATGACACACCAAGATGTCTGTGGTATGATCACCCAGATCTATGGATTGTAATCCAGTGGTGCCATTGCATCTTGCTAATTGTTGGGTAACGCATAGGTTGTGACAAGAAGACTGAAAGGCAGCTTCCAGCTTCCAAAGACTGGCTGGTAGGTGGAGGCTTTAGGTGGTGAAGGCAGCTACCCTAGGTTGTCCTCCGAAGAAAAGCACAAAGAAAGCATTGTCCAGAAGATGAAATCCTGACGGAGGTACAAGGTAAATACAATCTTTGAGATGTACCTTAATGAGCAACTGTTTATCTTTAGAGATTGGAAGCTTTCTTCACTGTGTCATCAGCCTTATGAGCCTCCTGGGCCTCTTCTTCCTGCAGGCTGTTTTTCATCTCTACACCTTCTGTGGTAGCAGGTACATATGGAGCATGGCAATCTCTGGTCATGCTCATGTGAGATCACAGACATAAAGCCTTATGGTATTTTGTTTCTCCACCAAATAAAGGGGGGGAATTCTGTTTTTACACTCCTAGAAACCAAAAGTGCATTTCCACAACAGCTTCTTCCTCCCGCTTAAGAGTATTGTCTTGTTTCCTAGGACAATGAGAAACTAGTACCAAGCACAGCAGCTTCCATCTGCAGAAGTGTCTCAGCACTTAGCAGAGATAAAAGGAAGTCCCAATATGTCTCAGCAACATGGCATGCAGCAAGAACCCACCGGTACCAAATTGTTCAGGAGAAGGAAGCAAACATGTACAATGCAGCCACATGTGACTGTGCAGAAACATGGCTGTAATCGCTCATGCAAGTTTCGCTCTTTTTTTAGAAGACCAAGTCTAACACACATGCAATTGGAAATTAATTCATAATGTATAAACTGAGGTCATTCAATTTCAAATACTTTGTATCCTAGTATTTAAGTAGCATTTCTTACAGAATAAAATAAATCAAGAAGAAATTGTCTTGTGTAATGAGCAGCAACCTTCCCAGAATGGTCACACAGGACTGAAGGTAAAGTTGAGCAACTCTCACTTTTGCTATAAGAATTTTGAAGTGTCTCACAGAGAGAGAGAATAATTGAGCTTTGGCAGTTATTGCTACATGAAGCACAGAAATTATTACAGTCCTGAGATCTGTGTCACACTCATTTACTTCTTTGCATAATCCAGAGAACTGCATCCCACAGAGAACAAGGTCTCTAATGCTAATTTCTTGAAACACATCTTACTGGTCCTATCATAAGGGAGCCTTTGAGTTTAATCTTTCATTTGATGACATACAGCCAGGGCTAAGCCCCTGAACCATAGAAGAATACCTGCCTAAGGCTGAGTTAGGTTTGCATGACAAATATAGTGAGGAGAGGGGAGAGAACAAAGAACTCCAAGGTGGAGTATGATCTAGATCTTTGTTGTTCATTCGCTGCTTCTACCTGTGCCTGACCCCATCGCAAGCTTTGTGAGCCTCATTTTACATCTGAACCAGCTACTGCAGGCGTCAGGACCTAAACACCAGTAATAAAAAGATCATGCTTCTCAGTCTCAGCACACTAAGATTTGGAGTAGTTCTCTAGCTTTATACATAAGAAGAAACGCCATGTCACTTCACTCCTTCTCATGTGCAGGTTTTAATACCACTACCTTGCTGCCCCTTAGCCTCTCCTGGTGCAGCCCATAACCTGGTGTAAATCACTGCCTGGGGAGGTTTCTGCAGGACACTGGCGGGATACAGAGAATGATTCTGCTGGCACAGCACCATGGAACTTCTCCTTTCACTCTTACAGACCCAGCTCCAGTCTATCCATCTGTTGTCACATACAGCTGTTTGGTTCCAACAGAGTCTGCATTCTGCAGAGCTGACATACAGTGCGAATGAACTCAGAGATAAGAGCTAGAAGAACAAACAATTCGGAAGCCAACAAAATTACTGTTAATTCTTTATGGTAACCTAACTACCCAAAGGCCAGCAAGCAGAAAACCACACTGACTTCAGCTGATATTTGTAGCTCTCCTGATATCTGAGTTTCCACAGTGCACGTCAACTGCCTGCCTGCAAGTTGTCCTCAGCTACGTCTTATCTCTGCAGCAGCTCAGCAAGCCCTGAGCACTTGCACACACAAACCTACGTGCACAGAGCTTCTCCACCAGCACCCTCGCTGTAGGGTAGGACCATCCACAAAGCCACAGCTCTGCTTGGCTCTTACTAAGTGTATTACAGACAAAGGGACTACACAGAGAAGACTCATCTTCCTTTCCCCTCTTCATAAGATTCAGGGCAAGTCAAAATTTCAGAGGTACCAACATAGGTGTGACCTCAGTTAGCAACAGCCCACTGGTGTCCATGGTATTCAGGACATGTTCTTTTTAAGTTCTGTTCACTGGGTTTCTTTACCTTTTCTCCAGTTTGGTCAGGTCTCCAGCCAAAAAGAAAAATATGTCACATCTTTAGTTGCAGTTTCCCATCAGGGATCAAAGAGACTTGCATACCAGAATCCACAGGGTTCTGTAACCAGCCTTGTGGTTACAAGGCTGGTTCCTACTCCTTCCACTGTTTACTCTCAAAGTCATCTCAAAATCCTTCTGCAGGAGAGAGGATACAGCAATCTAAGCATTCTACAGCCTGAGTTTCAGCACAGCCTCCTGGACAACTACCACAGCAACTAAGAACATTTCTATCCTTTTTCTCACAGTACATTGGTCTTCTTAATGGTGTGTCCACTACATGTTAAGGACAAATTTGATTGAAATTTGCTGGATCGAGGTTACAGCTGCTATTGCTGTTCAGATATTAATCATCAGGCTCCTGTGCTTCCATGGGGCTTGTTTGCATGAGTCTAGTGCTGATGAGTGGAGGCTTTTTGCTTTCCCTGCTGGCTGTAGAGCTGTGCTGTTGATCACCTTACTCTGCTGATCCTGGGAACATTTGGATAATGGCATTGGTGATGCACCTGGGCTGGCAGGTGGCCAGGACATCACTGCTGTTTCTATGCTGCTGTGCTGCACAGGTTGGAGCTCCAGCATGAACTTGAGTCAAAGGGACAGTGACCTGTGGATGAGCTCACGTGGGAGCAGGACACCCTGGGAGACGTTTGGCTTTATGGCATTTGTCTTCTCAAGTCACTGTTACATGTGATGGAACCCTGCTTTCCTGGAGATGGCTGAACTCCTGCCTGCCCATGGGAAGCAGTGAATGAATTTCTTGTTTTGCTCTGCTTGCACATGCAGCTTTGTTTTACTTTTAAACTGTCTTTATTTCAACCCACCAGTTTTTTCACTTTTACACTTCCAGTTATCTCCCTGATCCCACTAGGGAGGTAGTGAGTAAATAGGTGCCTAATGGGGGCTTAGTTGCTGTCCAGGGTTAAACCACAACAGCAGAAAGAGATTGTTTGCCTTTTAATGGGACTTTTATTTTTTTCCTACATGTATCCATTTTAAACTATTGTTCTCCTCAAAAAAGCAAAGTAAATCAAAAAAAACCCAAACAACTCCACCACTCATCTCAAGAAGAGGAGGAAATTTCTAATAAATTCAGAGATTGCACTAACTTTTCAGCCCTCACTTCTAGATGAGAACTGCATTTTTTATGTTTCAGTCTTTCCCAGCAGGAATGCTCTACTGAGAGATCACAGAATCAGTTTTTTGTCACTTGGTTAGCCTGACCCAAAGATCTACATAAAACTCTTCACATACCATGTTCAGTTGCCACCTTATCTCAGAGAGGCCACTGCAGCATCACCAGCTGTGTCTCTTCTATGTTAACATCATTTCAGTTTTACAAGTCTCCATTACAAGCCTCTCCATGCCCCTACTACTTCTGTTTGAGTATGATGAACAGACACACTGGGCAACTGAAAGGTGGTCTCACTTCAGAGTGTTTGTGAGGCTTGGGAAAAGGATACAAACCCGTGTCATCCCACTGACAAGCTGTCACACCAACCTGTAGATCTACCTGCTCTAGGCTGAGTAAGGCTGGAAAAGTAACTCTCATGAGTTTACATCTTTTTGCTTCAATGTTCCCTGATGTCCATGAAGCAGTAAGACGTGCTGAGGTGCCCAAATTGTCAGAGCACTGGCAAAAAGGCCTGTCCTGCCAGGTGTTTCCAGGCAAAAATCCTCCCCTGAACTGTTGCCTTGATTTTACACATAACAAAAATGTCAGAAAGGACATTAGCAAGTCTCTGTAGCCTCATGTACCAAGATATGAATAACAAGATAAAAAATATGTGGAGCCATATCAATAAATGTATTCCCATGCGAATGTAAGAGAAATAACTTTTTCAGTCAACATTTGAATCAGATAAAAGGTTGGAGATGAAGAGAAGAGCATTTCTCCCCCCACATTCACCCAGATGCTTAATTATTCTGCATGTCAGCTCATGACATAGCAGCAAAATATTGCACTTGATGCCCAAGGGAGCATTACTTCGTCTTCCTCGGAGCACAAAGGGCACATGGTTACCCAGTTCTTGACTGTACTCTGCAGTTCAGGCTGGGATTAGATGTTCTTATACAGAAGAGGCCTATCTTGAAGAGAAGTCTAAATATTCTAATGGAATTCAGGGGTAATTGATATGGGGAGCATGGAATGGGGTAAAAGGGTTGGGATATGTGTGTAGTTACTATGCTAAGGGTAAGGGTAAGGAAATAAATGTTGCTGCTTCTAAAACCTACATTTTCTACATAACTATTTATAAAACTTATAAAAATTAGAAAAATCAAAAAATCAAAAGGACCTTAAGGCATCACACTAATGTAGCATTTGGCATTATGCTGGTGGATGCAGTCCTGGGTGAGTTATTACTCTATGTTACAGTCATTCCTAATACTGCTTTGAAGAACAGTACAGCCTGAGACTTGAGACAACTGAAATTGCCACGTAACTCTAGAATCTGGGAGCTTATTTTAATCAGATCTTTCCTTTTGTTTCTTCTTCAAACATGAACCCAGGTTCTACCTCACCCTTATTTGCAGATATAAAAGAAACACATTCTAGAAAGCATACTTACACTGGTGAGTGAAAACATACCTAGCACAATGGAAGGCACTTGACTGATTTGAATCAGCTGAGCTTTGCACACACTTGTCAGTACACACCTCATTAACAAGGACACTTACATGTAATTCCGCTTTGCATCCAAGCAACATGCTACAGCCAGGAGCCACCACTAGGCTGGCTCAAAATTTCACAAGTGCCATGGAGAAGTTGCACTGGTCCCTCCCCATTAGTGCCTGTCAGGCTGAGATTGGAGCAGTAGCGTCATCACTGCAGGTGGGTGTATCTAGCCAGAGCATGAGAGAAAAGAAAAAGCCAACATCTCTTTTAACAACTCTTTTCTGCGTTCCTAGCCACAGATTTCACTTCTCTCAAGGACAGCAAGGCTCAGCATTGCACCCTGGACAGCACAGGATCATAAGCAAACTGGCGCTTCACCACAATTTGCAGATAATCCATTCTTGAACTCTCTTGAAGGAAGAAAGAGAGCAGACCTCAAAACAGCAGAAGAGACTACTCCGAGTTCCAGCGTGGTATCTGTGTCAAGCAAGTGAAAGACAATCCTATTAAGCTATCACCAGTACCAGCACTGGGTCCCACAGACCTAGTTTGCCTCAGCTGCAGGTCATTCCAGCAAAGGCCCAGCCACAGATGGACAAAATAAGGAAGCCCCTCATTAATTCTGTCTGCATAGTCTTTCCCTGTGGTCTGTGTACACTGCCACATTGTGACTGACTGTACAATAATGCACATATACTATGCAGTTTTCTTACTGCTTCCAACTGCTTCATATTTAAACCTTTAATAATGTGTATTTAACGTATGATTTTCTGTTTTGTTTTTTTTTCTGATCATCTTCTTGATGTAGAATGTTTACACTGATGGTACAAAGTGAACAAGGGGTAGGTGGAGCTTCTTGTGAGAAAACCAGCCATTACTTCTAACTTTCCATTACCAAAACAAACCGAGATCAGTAAGTTTCAAGTCTTCCCCTGCCACACACGC